TGAGCACAGTGAGATGGAAGAACACAACTCATTTTCTGCAGGGGTGTGGGCCAAGATTCTCACTTTGTATGTGTATGATACACAAAAAAACAAGAAAGGAGGGCGTTAGCATTTCAGTCTGTCTTTTGCAAATCAAATCTTCCATGGTGACACAAAGGAGTGAATGTCATGCAAGTGCGGTGTGTGGGATCACCCATGTTCTTCTCACTAGTTAATAAGTTAGCCCAGGCCAAATATGGCCATTGCAACAAATGCATGCTTCAAATGCCTGCACCAAAAGGAAGGAAGGGAACCAGGCCTCCCATTTATAATGTGAATTCGTTTCACAGGAACATCACAAACATTTGGCCTGGGGCTTTGTGAAAAAGCATTTTTTTAAAAAATCAGTTGAAAAAGCAAAACAAAATAAAGCCACCCATTTTTAATCCCTCAGAGAGTCTAAGGAAAGGATCTGGATGGATCCTGTTGCGATTCCATTTCCTACACTCCAGGAGGCCAGCAGGAGGGGTCTCAAAGCAGGTGTAAATCCTTTTCAGGCTAACAGGCACAGAGAGGCCAGGGGCCTGGGGGCCTGAAGGAACAGGCCTGAAGGGCTCTCTGGGGAACTTTCCCAAACTCATTTGAGGGATGGGAGGGGTAGGCAGGAGAATGGGCACCAGCACACATTCCTCCCCAGAGAGCTCAGGGCCCGAAGGAAACACCCCACCACAAAGACAGGCAGGGCCAGCCCTTCTGGAAAGACCAGATGCGGAGGGTTGGGAAGAGAGAAAGGGAAAGGCCCTGAGACCCAGGAAGGAAAGCAGAGTCCCCTTCACTCCTCTTGGTCAGAAGGCAGACACTTCAACTGCCCTTTGTCCTCGTCCTTCCAGAAGAGACAGAAAAGACAGCCTGCAGCTGCTCAGGGGGACACCACTCTGCAGAGGGGACAATGGGTGGGGGCATTCATCTTGAAAGAATGAGGAGTGCAGGTGACATAGGGCCCCTGGGGGATGGGGATTGTGCAAGAGATCAGGAGAGGCGGAGAAAGCCAAGCCACCCTCAGGCTGCTTGGAAGAGCACCCCACACTTGGGGAAGGGGTGCAGACCCTTTCCCTTTACTCTTAAGACTTTGGTTTTCCATTTAACTTCTTTTTTCCTTCCTGCCTTCATTCTGCATCTATTTGTTGCTGTTTCTTTCTTTGGGAAGCTGCAGGTAACAGTCTGTACCTGGGAAGGAAATCTGCTGGAGTAAAGGGTCACCTAGGGCCATCCACCAAAGACAAGGAAATTTGTACCAAAGGGATGCCCCCATGTCCACTGACATCTGTGACTTAATCTGAAGTCACACTTAGTTTTTCAAGCAGAAGGGAGATGGGAGAAGGGAAGTAGGGAGAAGGAAGGGGAGGGAAGGTTTTTTTTCAAAGCGTTCAAAGAAGGGATGGAGAAAGGAGGCTATCAGCAAGTATCTCATACTAATTTGTTTCTGGACTTCTTAATTAAGGTATAAACAACTTCAGAATGCTCCTGAATTTATAGATTAATTAGCAAAATCTTTTAAAGAAGTGCCATTTATAGCAAGATCTCCCTAAAAGAGAATCTTGCTACTGAAAACAAAACTGAAAGCAAATGATGATAAAGCTAAAATCTGAGTGCAGGCTAGCTGCTGGGTGTTAGAGATCAGTTTCCAGAAAATATCTCCAAAAAGAAAAAGAATAATTGGCTCTGAGCCTTAAACACAAGACAAGGAAAACTAAAAACTCAGATCCGCAGAATCAAAGAGACTTTAGGAGTCAAGTAGCCCAAGTCCTGGATGAACATGTATATTTTAATATTTGTGATCAAGGAAAAGAAAATGGAGGCTCAAGGAAGTTGAGAGAATTAACCAAGGTCCCCCAGCCGTTGAGTTCCAGGGCCAAGTGCAGATCTCTGGTTCCCAGCACTGGGAAGCCCTTCTCACGAAGCCACATGATCCTCAGGCCCCCCAGCTCTCCAGGATGACAAGATGTGTGGGCTTTACCGCTATGAAGGAGTAACAGAGATGAGAGCAGGATGGAGCTTCAAAAGTCACATGCCAGTCCCTCTACCTGTGGATGAAGACTGGCCCAAAGAAGCTGCAGGACCTGCCAAAAGTACTTAGAATCAGAGACACAGCTCAGGCCAGGAGCTCTCTCCCCATCAAGGCCCTGTGCCCTTTCCCCTTCTCAGCTTCCTCAGGTGGCCAGTGGACCTTCAGTGAAACCACACCCAGAGGGGCTCTAGTGTGCCCCTGATCCTTAGTGAGTGTTCAACTAAAAGTGAAGCTGAGCTCAGGCCTCCCAGCGCTGACACTTAGGTGGAAAGGTTGAATGGTGACCCTTTTTCCCTAAAAGATGTGTCTACACCAAATCTCTGGGACCTGAGAGTGCTAATGTACTTAGGAAAAGGGTCTTTACAAATGAGATTAAGCTAAAGATCTTGAGTAGTAGTCATGCTGGGTGGTCAGGGTGAGCCCTCCGTCCAGTAACAAGTGTCCTTCTAGAAGAAGGCAGAGGAGATGACACAGCAGAGGTGACACAGAGAAGCAGCCATGTGAGGATGGAGGTAAGAGTGGAGGATCCAGCCACAAGCCAAGGGATGCCACGAGCCACCAGAAGCTGGAGGAAGCAAGGAAGGGTCCTTTCTAGCCCTTCGGAGACTGTGTGACCCTATGGCACCTTGATTTTGGATGTCTAGACTCCAGGACTCAGAATAAATTCCTGCTGTTTTAAGCCATCATCATTTCAGCAAACACCAGAAACTGAAAAACTGATCATCTCTGTGGATAAAATAAATGAAAAAGACACAAACAAGGTCCGCGGTATTTACAACTGATTCACAATCACAGTGGTTCACCAACAACCGGGTCAGAGAACAAGACATGGAGGGAAGTGGAGTGTGTGGACACTAATCCTGCATCCCCCCCACCCCGCCCTGCCTCTGATCTCTCAGTGACCAAACCCAGCTGACTCACAAGAAGTCACATGGTGGTGTGCTAACTCTGCAGGACGTTGTTCTAGATCACACGCCCATCCGAGCAGCGCCTGCTGGGTGGACCCTGAGTCTCAGCCTGAACGTGCAAACTGCTCCCAAACGGCCAGACTCTGAAGGCATTTAGGAAAGTCTCCAAGCCTTAAACCCCACAAAGCAGGTTCCAGTGAAGGAACCCGAAGCCAATTTGGGAAGAGGCCTCTGCAGCCCCAGTAAACACTGTACTACTTGGGCCTCGAGGGAGACAACAGAGTCAGCAGAGATTTCTTCAAAATGTCATGTTCTTGGATCTAACTTTATTTTAGATGCTCCTTCCCACAGCTGTTGAATTAACTCTGAAAGCAAACAACACACACAGATACACACACCCAGCCCTTTGGCCCCAACTCCTTCTGGGGAACACAGATCCATGTGTGGATTAGAGATGGCTGACTTGATCTGTGCTCTCTACAAACATGGCGGTCTCAAATTCAGGCACCGTGCTACTCGGGGTCTTCTTGCCCCTTCCTAAGGCTGAACATCTGGGAAATTGTTTTATTATTGTTCTTTTAAAATGAAATTTCCCAGTTGCTCCCAACTCAACAGGTTTATTCAGTCTTACACAGGAGACTAAACTTGGGAACCCCAAGGGAGATTTGGTAAGGCCCCACTTAAGCATCTCCTTAGATGAGCTCTCTGGGGCTCTACAGACAGATGAGAGAGGGACTCAGGGGGGGACCAATCACTCCACTTTGAGTATTGACTGTGATAGGACCACTTGGACTTCAGTAAGGTGGGTTACAGCACCTTCTCCAATAGCCTTGCAGGGCATGTTCCTCCTCTTAAACCAAAGCCCTAGTCTCAAAATGTCCTTGGGCCAAGCATTAAGTTTCAGTGGAGAGGCTGTGAGTCCTCCTCCCACCTCACCAGGTATGGGTATGGGGGTCCAGTCTCACAGGCACTCCTGCACTGACTTCTGGGCCCTGACTTCTACAGAAGTCTCACTTGCCCCCCTTCTCTGCACTCTTCTCAGCCATTTTTTTTTTTTTAAATTTGAGGTGACATTCATTTGTCCTAAAATCAAACACATTAAAGTGAACAATCAGGAGACAGCAGCCCAGAAACACCTCAGGGGCTCCATGGATATGTGTCCTGTGTCTCTGAAATACACCCTACTGGGAAGTTTGGAGATGGTTAGCTGGATTCAGGGCCCTGGTGCTGAAGGAGGAGGTGACAGGCTGCAGGACCAGTCCGTCCTCCTGCCAGCTGCTGGGCTTCCTAACCCAGCCCCACTCAGCACACATTCTGCACCCTGGAATATGGGTGACACGGGAGGTGATCTTGACTTTTCCATTGGACCTGGTTGACGCCCCACAGGCCTGTGAGAAGTGGGGCAGTGACTGCCTCTGAACTCTGGCCCAGAAGCCCGTGTGTTGGCCCAGGAGGAGCCTGGCTCAGCCCATAGGCAGACACTGGTGAGCAACTGCCGAGAACACAGGAACTCAGCTGGACGGGTCAAAGCAGTCACACCTGAACTTAACAGACTTCAGCTTAGCCCCAGCCACAGGTTACTCTGGGTCACACAGGATGTGGGTTTCTAAGGGTGGGGAAGTCAACACCTTCAACTCTCACCCACCCTTTCTTAGCCCTGATTCTGAACCTCTGCTTCCTGGGTCTGTATACTTACACACACACACACACACACACACACACACAGATATACATATGTACCCACATGACTCTAACACCCTCTTCCTCTTCTAACTTCCAAAAATAAAAAGAGTCTTTTTCATTTCAACAGTCTTTATCATTCTTCCCCCCCCCCTTTCAAATTCTCCATCATTCCAATTTTCCAATGAGCATTTGGTAGAAATTGTCCTCAAGGACAGCACCGCCCATGGATTCTCTGACAGTCACCCCCAACTACTTTTCTTCCGTCAGAGGTGAAGGCAAAGAGAAAAGGAGGCTTTCTCTAATGTTTCTGAGGACGGTGAGGAAATGGCGGGGGCTTTGAGGGGAGCTCTTCTGTCACTTACCTCCAGGACTTTCCCTGTGATAAACTGTTGACAAGCTTCACATTTCACACCAAAGAGCCCCTGGTAGTCCTTTTCACAGTATGGAGCGCCATCCCTGCAAGACAACAGTGTGTTCAGCTCCCAAGAAGAGGTGACCAGAGCCACAGATGGAAGAGGACACTGAAATCACCTTTCCCTGAGCCCTCTCCACAGAACGGGGGTAGAACTTACCAGAACTTGTTTATGCCTCACCCAGCTTTCACATGCCTGGAGACCTGGCCAGACACGACCAATGTCACAGAAGGGAAAGCTGCCGATCTCCAGGCCACACAGAAGGAGGCCCACCCCCGCTGCTGGTTCCCGGATGGTTTCAGAACTAACCAGGATCCTGCCCTTTCACTGGCAGCCCAGATCAGCTTCAGAGGTGAGCTCAGTGCTTGTCTGCCTCTGTGGGGACCCAGGTGCACCTTCTCTCCCCACACCCCTTCCTTGGGCTCACAGGCCTGACAGAGCCCCCCCGCCAGCAACCTCCAGATTCCGTTTCCTCAGCTCTCAGGAGGCCCGAGAACCCAGGACCCTTTCCATGAACCTCAGAGCATAATAAACATGTCACTTTCAGCTTGATCTAGCATGAGAGAGTGAAAAAGCACCCTCTAGAGAGCCGAGGTGCCCAGCCTGCCATGTCAGTTTAGAAGCTCGACTCTTCTCTGGTCTTCCTTGGCTGACCACCACCATCAACCCTGGAATTCTTTATTCTAATGAGGGTGTTTCTGCTTGAACTCAGGTCCACTGTGAAACTAGATTTCCAAGGTAAAAGAACACAGCTGCTTTTTTGTTTCACTATATTTTTTCAACTAAATTCATTAATTTTTCTGAATGGGTGATTTCATGTGGGTGGGGAAATTTTTAAAGGGCATATAAAGATACAGAATGGCAAGTTCTGTCATTGCAGAGTGCATTAAAAGCTGCCACCACCCACACTCCACTTACTTCCTCATCCCTAGCGATCATCCACAAGACCTCTGACTCAAAATGAACAGGCTTCCTGGGCTGGTTTGACACTGGTCTAAGGAGCCCAGTGCCTAGGCTGCATGTGCTTTGGGGGAGTCTACACATAAGCTCAAAGGGGAAGGAGAAAGTCTTACTAGTTCCACATAGGACAAAAAAGAAAAAAGGGAAATTATTAGAAGCTTAATTGGTTATGACATAGGGTGTACTATTACGTCAGCTTTGGAATGATTAGACAATTGATAGTCATTTAGTTTATAGCAGCCAGATTATGGTAAAATAACAAAATTATTTCTTAAAGTTTTACAGCAAAAAGTTCATAACAATTATGGGATGTGAATGTACTTCATTTGGTCTGAGGAGGAGAGGCCCCTGGCAGGGTCTGCATAGCACCCACAATGGCCCATCCCCACTCCAAGGACCCGCACACCTCCAGCCCAGTCTTACTTGCTGATGTACTCCCCAGTGAGGACCTTCCCGCAGGACTTGCATTTGAAGCACCCCAAGTGCCACTGCTTGTCTAGCGCCAACAGCGCCTGCCCATTCTTGATGTCTCTTCCGCAGCCAGCGCAGTCTAGAAGAGAGCATAGCCAGTGGTTACCACGCATTTCCTTTGCCAAAGCCAAGCATGCAGGCTTCTGGACCCCAGCATACACCCCTCAACCCTGTTGCTAGGCAGGTAAACACCATATTATTCCATTTTCTTTCCCTGCACATAATCTTCCCCAGGACACCTCACAGGACCCAACCTCTTACAGTAAGGCAGCTGCTGGAAACTCTGTGGATCCAAGTGGATGAGATCCTTCATCTGTTTTATTTCCTGGGGGGTTAAGTACCCTCTGAGCTCCAGCTGGACCACAGAATATTTAATTATAGTGTCTTGGCTGTGATTTGAAGAGAGCCCTCACAGGCCTTTAGTGATTGAGAGCACAAGGGAGTAGCTGAGCACACAGCAGGTTGGTTGCCTCATCCAACATGGCGTATGGATTCCTGGCACGCGGCCCTTAGCTCTCACTTTTGTAAATGGGAGACTACTTCCTTAACAACCTAAACCAGCCTCTCAATGATTCGTGATCATCGATTAAATGACTCTTAATTCCTTAGCTTTAACTCATCCTTGGCAGGTTCCCGAAAAGCAGAGAGGAGAATGCAGAGTGTGGGCGCTGGAGTTGGAGAGCCTGGTCCTGCACCCAGCTCCGATGCTTGTCTACGTGACCAGGCAAGTCACTTGCCTTTTGAAGCCTTGTTTCCTGATAGGAAAGTGGAGATGCTACTGGCACCCACCTCAAGTCTCTGATGAGGATTCAATGGTTGCCACATTCAAAATGGCCCTATAAACATTTGCTATTATTATAGCTGCCATTATTATTTTGATTATGAAATACTTCATTGGGTTAGGGAAGTGTTTAAAAAAAAAACAGAAGAATGTAAATGGGTACACACAGTCTAAATCCATGTACCCGAGAAAACAACTGCCAGCAATTGTCCATGATGTCCCCACTTACATACAGGACCCATAGAGGGACCCAGCAAGGCCACTAGTGGCCACATTTGGAACGAGACCGAGACCAGGCTCCTCAGTGCACAAAGTGATTAAACAACCCCCTCTTCTGACCACAGCTGTGACTGCTGCTCCTTTACCAAAGATGCCTCCAGCCCAATTTGAGACTCTCCTGGAGAAATTCAGGATACCCCAGCACCCACCTGCTCCTGATTCTTGACAACACCCATCCCAGCCCTGCTCCTGCTCCCTGGAATCTCGCTGTAGGTACCCAGCGCAAGTCTTTCTCTTCAAACTCCAACCATAGTGCACAATTCATCTCTCCCAGCTGCAGTGAGTTAAGTTTTTTTTTTTTGTTTTTTTTTTTAATCTCAGGTGTGTGTCTGGTGATCTTGTAGCATAGTGTTAACATTGTTTGAGACCCAGAAACTTCAGGTCTAAGATTTTATTCTAAACATATTTTTGCAAGAGTGTGTGTATTTGCCTGTGTGTGTTCCCTATAGCATTTTGTAACAAAAATTGAATTATAGTCTATATTGACATCAATGAGGGACCTACTAAATTAATCAGAGCACAACCAACAATGGAATATTAAGTGCTGCTAGAATGAATGAGGTAGGTTTAGCCTGGTGTGGTGGCCCATGCCTATAATCCTAGCGGCTTGGCAGGCTGAGGCAGGAGGATCAAGAGTTCAAAGCCAGTCTCAGCAAAAAGTGAGGCACTAAACAACTCAGTGAGACCCTGTCTCTAAATAAAAATAGAATATAGGGCTGGGGATGTGGCTCAGTGGTTGAGTGCCCCTGAGTTCAATCCCTGGTACCAAAAAAAAAGAATGAGGTAGGTTTATGTGTAGTATGTGTAGATGTGGGACTTCCAAAATAGATCAAGTGAGGAAAGCAATCTGTACAATAGTGCTCATGGCATAAGCTCATGCATAGAAAAATAGTAAAGAGTCTGCATGCTTACCCAGAATAGAACATGCATGGGAAAAAAGCAAGACCTTCTTAAGAAACTTCCCTCTGTGGAGAGGGACCTGACTTTACTTCACATCTTCTGTGATACACAAATTGTTTTTTAACCATGAGAATATTAAAAACAACAACAAAAAAAGCATGAGGTTAAAAATGTCAATTCTGAGTATTATAGATAGAATTTCTTAGAGCACAGCCTGTTACAAACTGAGCGTATATTACACAAAATCTAAGTATTTTTTTAAAGTACAGTTTATGTGTATCCCCATATCTCATCAAAAATATAAAGGAATCTCACATCTGGCAGTTTATTATCAAGAAAAAATGGAAGGCCACAATATTTATTTAAAAATACAATTTTCACTGGGCACAGTGGTCTGCATCAGTAATCCAAGTGGCTCAGGAGGCTGAGGCAGGAGGATCAAGAGTTCAAAGTCAGCCTCAGCAAAAGCAAGGCACTAAGCAACTCAGTGAGACCCTGTCTCTAAATACAAAATTGAGGGGCTGGGGCTATGGCTCAGCAGTAGAGAGCTTGTCTCGCATGTGCAAGGCCCTGGGTTCAATCCTCAGCACCACATAAAAATAAATAAATAAAATAAAAAAGGACTGGGGATGTGGATCAGTGGTTGAGTGCCCCTGAGTTCAATCCCTGGTACCAAAAAAAAAATTTTTTTTTGAAGAGTAGGAGCACAGTATAGACTTAGAATGAATTGATGATTAATAAAGAAATAGACTTTTCAGAGCAGTTTTAGGTTCACAGAAAAACTGAGCAGCAGAAGGTATAGAGATTTCCTATATTCCACTTGCCACCATAAACTTGCCCCCCCCCCCACCAGAATGGTACACTTGTTATCACTGCAGAGCATATACTGACACATGATTATCACCCAGAGCCCACAGTTGACCTTAGCATTCTGGACATTCTGTTTAGACAAGTTTGTGATTCATATATAGTATTATAGCATCATATAGAATAATTTCACCTATACATACTGTGCACCGCCTACTTGCCCCTTCCTCCCACCTTCCCCGGCAACCACTGAACTTCTTACTATCTCCATAATTTTGCCTCTTCCTAGATGAAACAGTTTTAGTTCAATTGAATTGAATTTTTTTTTACGCATCTCATTAGATAATTCCCACTAGGTGGCAGCGAAGATTTAAATACTAAGAAAAATGCCATGTAACAGAATTTTTTAAGGAAGAAATAAACTTGAGAGATATTTTTCCAGCTCTACAAATGAAGGCTGTTGGATTCAGCAAGGCTGGGAGAGCGGTTTGAGGTCTCCACCTACATGAGCAGAGAAGTCCAGGGAGATGGCTGCTGGATTAGGGCTTGGGCTTTGGTGTGGGAAGACTTGGGTCATTCACTCCCTCTGAACTGTCATTTCTTCATCTGCAAAATGCTGACAATAGCAGCTACTTGCTGGGAAGAAGCAGCGAGATCATCACTGTAAAGTGCTTCGCAAGCACAAGGCTTGGTACTACACATGTACTCAACAGGTCTTCCCCTGCTTCCTGACTCTAGTCAAGCACCTTGGCACCCAGACATTCCGGAGCTATGCAAGAAGAACAATTGGAGAACAAGGACCACCAAGATATTCTTTCCTGAGGGCTGCTATGGATCAGGAAGGGCTCTGTGAACATGATACCAATCCTAGTCAAAACGCCTTGCAGACAAGAAGCCCTTGACCTTACAGGTGGTGTCTATACCACTCAGACTCTCTGAGTCCTGCCCATTATCAAAGGCAGACATTTGGATGATGCTTAATAGAGAAATATTCATACAGTAATGAATGCTTAAAACCAGCCAGCCAAGCTGGGCTGGAAGAGGAGGTTGGGGCAAAGCTTCCTCCATCCCAAACTTTATGACACAAGCAAATCAATAAAGACTGCCTCCTAGATAAGAGAAAACCACCCGCGTCAGCTGGTCCCAGTTTTCCAGAGTATTCCACCAAGGTTGCCCATTCCCTCTGGACAAAGCCACAGCTTTCCTTGGAGCAGCCTGAAGTCCTACTGGGCAAAGTATAAAAGATGGAGAGATAAAGAGCGCACTGGATGGTTCACTTCTTCCGTGCTCGCTCCAATTGAGCTCCTTTATAAAGAACAAAACGTCCTACTCTCTATCTGCATGTTTTTCAGCTGTTGAGAAAATTGTTTCCACATCACTGAAGCAGCTGCTGATAAATATAGAAAGCTGGTGATTGGCACTGGAATTACTGTCAAAGTCAGAAATAGGTGAATGTGGAGCAGCATCAGGGAAACAGAATCCACTAGTGACAGCCAGTGTTCTGGAAAAAAAGGAAAAACAACAACAACAATAACAACAAAATAGCCTTAAACTCTTTGCCTCAAGCCCTACTCTTGGCATCAAAGCCAGAGCAAAGTAGGGATTTGGCTACTTATGTTCAAGTTCAACTCACATCCAAGTACACACCTGGTTCCATATTTTTATCATTTTGATCAAAGGCCATAAATATCATTATTAATAAGAATCCTGCCTGTCTGCCTTAATCTTTCTAATACTTTTTGGCAGAGGCCCATGGACACCTGGGTTTCAAAAGTATTTGAGCTAAAGAAAGGGACATATGGCTCTTGGAAGGAGGGTGTTGTTCCCAAGCTAAGAGGAGAGGTTTTCTCTTAAGTGCACTTAAGGTCCTGTCAACCTGGACACCTATGTTCTCCTTGAGAATGATTTTCTGCCTTCCTAGAATTCCCCATTCAGGATGGTAAGGGACAAAAAGATGTCTTTTTTCTGCAAAGATGCCTTTTGGAAAGGAAGACTGGGGACATGGAGCCACAAGAAGAACAAACATGTGATGGCTCAGTTTCCACCCATCTCAGCCTTCCCAGGTCTGCATGCTTCGGACATGCTCAGTCATTCACAAAAGTGGTAACAGCCATTCAGAGCATCTGTCCATCAAGGATCAAAGCCTCCAGAATATGGAATGGGACCGTTTCCAGCGTTGCAGAATTTTTGGCAAAGGCATCAGAGCCGAAGACAACAGTGATGAGTATTCCAACTTCCAAAGATGGGGACTAGGGGCTGAGTGGTTTGGTGGTAGAGGACTTGCCTTGTATGTGTAAAGCCCTGGGTCCCAT